CAAGTATGGAGGAAGGATGAAAACCCTGGGGCCACGGAGCCCAAGGTTAGCAAATGTCTACAGGGCATGCACCACAGAACCTCAATGAAAGGCCGAACGGAGGGGATGACATAAGGAAGATGTTTGTCGTACCCCAGCATGTGGTCTTGCAGGAAGCTGCGGGATGTTCTTTCCCGAGTCCTTGGGGAGGGGAGCTTGTAACAGACTCCTGGCCTCACATGTGCTTCTTCAGCCCATGAGCCAGGAAGCCCATGCAGTCTTTGAAGTTCTAGTTGTCACAATCGGGCAGCTCTCCTTATCCCTTGAAAAGCACACAGATCTGAAAGCCACGGAGAAGTCTTACGTGCCTATCGATCTCTAAGTGAAGGAGGTCAGTCTGCTAAAGCTGCATACTGTGTGATTCCAACTACGAGACATTCTGGAAAAGGCGAAACTATAGAGACAGCAAACAGATCAGTGGCTGCAGAGTTTCCAGCGCAGGGAAGGGTGAACAGGTGGAGCAGAGGGGATGTTCAGGGCAGTGAAACTGCTCTGTATGACACTGTCATGGTGGATACGTGTCACTGCACACTTGACCAAACCCAAAAAATGAGCCCTGATGTAAAGTATAGAGTTTTGTTAATACTAATGTATCAATATTGGCTCCTCAGTTGTAGGCGGGGTACCACTAATGCAGACGTTTATAATATGAGAAACTGCACCGAGAGAGGGAGATATGGGATCTCTGTACCTCCTGCTCACTTTTCTATAAACCTAAAATGGCTCTAAAAAATAAAGTCTATGAAAAAACCGCATATCTCTGTGTCCTAGCTGCAGCAGAACCAGGAACTAGTGCTGATGCACTCAGTGAAGTCACAGATCCGCACTCCCCCTGACAGATGTGAACGCGGGCACAGCCAGAATGAACGTGGCACCTGTCTGCTTCCTTCCTGACCTCCCTACAAAGTGCACACAGGCTGAATGTGCTTCGCAGGACAGGAAATGCCACGCCATTATGAGGAATTTGCGGGCAAAATCAATCGAATAGATTTGTTGGGCTTTTAGTTACTTCAGGTCATCATAGTGAAATTGACTCCATGCGAGGCACTGTTAGCGTTTGCTTCTGGCCAAGGGGTCCAGGTACCTGCCGGGAGGCCAGATCTGCCTCAGCCAGTGGTCTCACGTCCCTCACCCGCGTCCCGATTGAGGTGGCTGCAGAGTTTCTAGAGGGTGGACCCCCCCGCACGAGGGGATGCCGGATGGGGGTGCCCTGAGCGGTGGGAGGAGGAGCTGGGAGGAGTGTGGGACGTTGTCCGCGGGGGAGGGGCGGGAGTGGGTGCTGCTAAGAGAGATCCCAGGGATGGGACTGGGTGATGTTTAACTTCGGATTTTAAGAAAATCTGGGAAAGAGAGTTTCACCATGTCAGAGCTGCAAGAGATTTTGAAACCATCTATTCCTTCCTGTCACTGTACCGCTGTGGAACCCAGTGCCTGGAAGGGTTCCCTAGAGACACAGCGGTGCCCTCAGCTGGGTTCAGATGTCCCTGACTTCTAGGCCGTCTCCACAAATTGAGCAGGCCTGTGGAACACTCTCAGACCTGCTCACCTTCCCTGCTTCACACCTTCGGGTGGCTTCCCAGTCCCCTAAGGGTCACACCTGCCTCCTTTGCATGGCCCCAGGCCTCTCCCATCTGGCCCTGAGTTACCTCTCCAGTCCCTCCCAACCCCCCCACCACCACCTTGAGGCCAGAAGCACAGAACTACTTTCCATTTCCCATCCCCCACAACCCCCCCCATACCTCCGCTCCCCCCTCCCCCACTCCCCGCTCTGCCTGCTCCCAGCTGGGCTGTCATCTGCGGGCAGCCTCTGAGAGTCCAGGTCTGGGTCTCATGTCCTTAACTTCAGAGCTATGGGTTTGAAGCTGCCTGTTTACAAGTCCTTACTCCACTGGACTGGAGAGTGGAGATACGGCCTGGCCCGTAGCAGGTGCTTAAGGAATATTTACTGATGGAACAGGGTCTGTAAATATTCTTACAGGCTCAAGGCAGACAGTATCAGTCTCTTTCCCTCAGGCTCCACTCCATCCCCCTTGCCCCAAGCTCTTTATGCATCTGCTGGTTTGGGGGTTTCTTTACACCAGGATCTTGGAGGACCAGGGGCCAGGGTTCCCACAGGCTCTGAACACGTGGATGCGGCACTAAGCACGGCCGGCAGGTTCGGCTCCTACTCAGGTGGCTGGGCACCCCTCTGCCCACTTAACACGGTGCACAGCAGGCACCCAGGAACGGATTTTCAGCCCAGCGTGGAGACGGTACCCACCTGCCACGGCACTTAAGCACTGCCGCGGTGACGCCATGCACTCTGTGTTGTTTTACGGTTTCAGTGCGATCGTGTTCAGCATCCGCCCTCCCTGGTAAGCAGCTGCTGCTCTCTGGGGCCCTGTTCTGCAGGCATCTTTACCATGGACTTCCTCCTTTATCACCTTGGAAGTGAATGGACATTAACTTTTATGCTTTAAGTCCAAAATAGACAATAAAATTAGGGAAGCAAGTTTGTGTTAATCTACAGGGCTGCCTGCAGAGGTGATCTGAGTCCTTCAGCGTCCTTGGGGGAATTTCTGAGGTTGCCTTGCTCTCCCTGAGCAGAACTTTCTGTAGCAATCAGAGAAGGCTGAGCTAGGAGGCAAGCCAAATAAATACCCAAAGGGCCAAAGATTGACAACTTCCTTCTGCATATAGAAGCCAGGGAGGTGCTCCTGGGAAGAAGGTGCAGGGGTACAGGCATGGTGCATTTCAGCCCATCCGCTGGGGGCAGCCCAAACAAGCTGTGTCTGCAGACACTTTCCAGGGTGGCAGGGACCACGGCAGGTCAACAGTGCCAGGGCTGCATGCCGAGTAAGTCACCAGCACGACACTGTCCCTCACACCAGACCACAAGTGGAGAGCAGTGGCCATTTATCAAGTGCCTACTATGCGCTGACTTCCACTGGCTGTCATCCTTGCTGCAGCCTGGTGGGGAAGGCAGAGGTAGAACATTTCTAAGTTCTGCACGAAGAAATTGAGGTGGGGGTGGAAGGCACTAGTGCATCCAAGTCCACAGCCAGTTAGTGGTAGAGGCAGGTTTTGAAGCAGGCGATGGCCTGTACCAAAGCCCGTGCTCTCCCAGGACGCTGCACCAGCTCTGTGGGGGATGCCTCGGGACCCGGGCGTCCCGGGAGGAGGGCTGCCTAGCGTGGGCAGTGTGGAGGGAGGGAGGAAAGGAGCAGGCTGTGGCTGAGAGCCTATGTATGTCACTCCCAACCATCTGGGGCTGCTGTGTGGCTGGGGGCAAGACATTCCTGCAAGAATAGGAGGCAGTCCCGGCCGCATGTCAGCTGCTGGGATGGGTGTAATTAGTTGGGAAAGGCTCTAAAGAGCCCACACTAGCAAATCACCACCTTGCAATTAAAAAAAAAGCCACATGGAAGTAAAGTGTGAAGATGCCCTGTGACTTCTGCTGTGTGTAAGACGGGGAGCTAGTCAGCCTGAAAACTGCTGCTCCGAGGGTCCCTGAAACCCAGACCCGTGAAACACCCCAGGCTGACGCCGCGGACACCCGGGTTCTCTGCTGGCTGCAGGCTCCTGACCACGTCCCCCGGCGCCTCCCTCTCCCACGGCAGAGAGCGCTTTGCTGGGAATGGCTCTCTCTCACCTCTGGGCACCGGCTCACAATACAGCTGCTTTGTTCTCGTACCTACTAATTCCTGAGGCAGGGTGAGAAAGATCGATTCTGTTCATACCCCAAGGGCTCTGGGGCTTTTACGTGAAGAACCAAAATCCCAACATGCTTGGGATAGCATGAGGATGCTTTCTTGCCACATAAGCGCACTATAATAAAAAAAAAAATCACGGTAAAGAATACTTGAGTGAGACTCTGATGGGGCCACAAACTAAAGGGATTGAGGAGAGGATCCAGGTAATTAGGCTGGATATTGTCTGACGCTGTCACTGAGCAGGCATTTCCTTCCTACCAGCCTCTGTGCTCGGAGCAATGTCGACACTGATACCTGGATGTGCGACCTGTCTCCCAGGCGCGGCGGGCTGGAGAGGCATCCCTGTGCTCAGGGAGCAGGCGAGCGGGCTGCATGCTGCTGCTCTCTGCTTTGGGAGGAAGAACATTTTTGGGAAGGAGGCCAGGCCAGGCCCCAGAGACAGCCCTGAATGTTTCTTTCCTGGGAAATAAGGTACTTACCTAGGGGTCTCTGAGTCACACCCCTCCACTTACGGGGATGCAGGGAAGGACGGGGTGGCGTGAAGAGCTGAGACCTGGCTCAACAAGGATCCTGGGAAGGATGCTGGGGGAGGCTGCCCACAGTGATCTCTGGACCCCCACTCCCACCCAGCCGCCCATGCCATCTGTCTGTGAGCCAGCCAGGTGGAGTTTAAGCGTGAACACAAGTGAAAACCAGCTTCCATCACCAAACAATGTTATAATTACCCAGCATGCTGTTGCTCAGGACACCGGGTGAGGCAAGCCCTTCCCAGTCCCCTCCCTCCTTCAGCCTCTGTTTCTAGTCCTTCAGTGTCTCCATCCCCTATGACCACCATCCCTGCCCCTCCCTGCCCGCCTGACTCCACTCCACTATTAAAGTCACGCTTCCAACTGTCACTTTCTTTTTAATTTTTAATCAGTCCGTGTCGAGAAAAAACAGAATTTGATCAAGGTTCCCGCTCTCACTGCTCTAACAGCATAGCAATTTTATGGATCAGAGTTTTGTTTATATTTGTCTAAAACCCCGAGGAGAAAAGGAATCAACTCTGCAGATCAACATGTATTTGAAGAGACACTTCAGGACTCGGGAGATGTTTTTATCAGTCATTTTCTTATGAGCAATCCCCGGTGGGCACTGACAGAGCGTGGTGGATATGCCGGATTGACAGGCAGGTGAGGCAGCCGGGAAGCAGGAGGGGAGAGCAGTCTGTCTTTGGGCCAGGCCGCCAGCCCACGGACTTTGCAGGACAAAATAAAAAGGAAAAAAAAATCCAATCTTATACTTTTTTTGGAGGAGGAATGTGTTTTCAGAAACAATTTCTCATTTGGAAAATTAAAGATGGCTGAGTTTGGAGCGGGGCCAACAACCCAAAGGGTTACCCGGGTGGGGGCTCATGACTCAGATAAATTGTCACGTGGAATCTTTTAAAAATGCCAGAACAAAATGTTACCTTCGTTACTTCTCCACCATGGGATGTATTTGAGCACAGTCTGACCATCTGTAAAGTCATAAGACTTATCCAAAGCCATGGGTCCATGTGCTAGACCATGAATACAAATACGATATTTCACCAAAGGACAGCACAGAGGACAGGAACTCTCCTTGTTGAAGAAATTTCCAGAAAGCAGAGTCTGACCGAGTCCTTCCTTTCCTTTCTCACTGGAACCGCCAAATCCCGCTTTGGTCTTGCTTTGAGCAGAGTTGTCCAGACCAAGGGACACACGAGAACCTTCACTCTGGGAGCCTGCAGGGGGCGCTCTGCTGCTCAGCACAGACTTCCCGCAGAGGCTGAGCCATCCAAATTTGGTGTCCAGACACAGTTTGAAGCGGATTTGAGAAGCAATTTACATAATGTGACATGCTTTCAGAGGAGGCAGGTAGCACTCATAAGTCAAAGGGATGTGGGATTCGGTGGGATATGCGTGGAACTGTCTGTCCCATGTTCTGTAGCACGGGACACACTTAACACCTTCATCCAGGACCACACAGGGTTTCCCCTCGTCCTTTTGTTCCCCATGGGTCTTGGCAAATCCTCAGGTCTCATTTAAAAGCACTGCCACCGCCGTCTGTCAGCCTCGCTGTTGAGTCCAAGATGTACCATGTGAGTCACTGTCCCCATTATCGATAAATTCGCAAACGTCCCCATCCCCCCCACGCTCTGTCCTTTGGACGCCTCACTCCAAGGTACAAGGCTCCCATCCCCAAAGGGGCAGCAGAATCATCAAGATTTTGCCCGGTTACGGGTCTTCTTCCATTAGAGGGATCTCTGTAAAAGAAGAGATGCTTATTACACTCATACACAGAAAAACACCACAAAGATCTGGAATCGTGAGCTTTATTAAAATGTCTGCCATTCTTGAAGTCAGTAAGAAGAAGGAAACGCTAAGTTCCACATATGGGTTAACAATCAAATAAATCAACTTCTTTGTACAACATTATTTACTGGAAAATCTCATACCCAGCTCATAAAAAATAGACTGTTAGGCTTCAACCGTGCGCCCTTAATGGTCATACAAACCAAAAGGTTACAAGTTCAAGTACAGATAGGAGGGGAGGTACTGGGGAAGAGGAACTCTGTGGGGAACCTGTTTCCACGTCATTACTGCTACGCACGGTCAGTATAAGTGGGATGAGTGCTCTCGCCTGTAAAGTGGTGCTGGGGGCCTCCTCCCCTGGGAAACAGAGCTCTGCTTAGTGTGGTGACTTTTTACTATTTTACCATGAGCTGCGATCTGCCTTTCCTTGTGATAGGCACAGACATCTTTTATTTCCAGCTGGCAAGCATAACCTGTGAGTACATAGAACGTCTCCTGAGCTGGGCCCTCCTGCTGCACCTGAGTCTCCCCTTTCTGCATGCGCGTGTTATTCTGTTCCTAAGCACCACTTGCAGAAGTCCTGCCTGATTGAGGGAGAAAGAAGATAAAGCCTCCTGGATCGCACGGAGGCTATGAAACCCAAGTTCCGTCCCCTGCAGCCTTTCCACTCTGGATGGCCTGGCGCTCTTTCGTGCCTCCTGAAATTTCAGTTAATGGGCTTATCACTTGTGAGATGCGGATCATTGCTTCCAATAACTGGCCCTGCCCACGGCCTTGCCATGCAGAGAGAGCAAGATGCAGTTTAAGCTGAGTGAGATGGAAGCACTGATTGGGCTCTGAGCTGGGGAGTGGTGGGGGCGGGGCCTCGGGGCAAACACTTACCGTCTGCAATGTCGATGCCTGGGCTGGTGGATGCCACCTCCCCCGCCATGCTGGGGATTGTGTCAGGGCTGTCGGAAGTGGAGCGACTGCCCCCTTGGCATGTGGGAGGTGAATAGAGACTCTGGAGCAGCTCTTCGGAGCCTGAGACGCTGTCACAGGTTTCTGACTCCCCCGGGCCTGTGTCTGTGTCCCCTGAGCCAGGGTAGGCTGGGGGGCTCTGGTCATCCACGGGTAAGGGGCAGCCCTGGCCCACGGAGGCCAGGTACCCGGGGCCTAAGGCACTCAAGCCACCGCTCACAGCCTCATCGTAGGACGGGAGCATGACAGGCACACCATCCACCACCACGAAGTCGGGGTCGCTGCTGGAACTCCTGGGGGGGCCCCCCTGTGGAAAGGAGAGCGATGCCAACATGTCAGGTGGCACCTCATTCTGGGAATGAGGCCACAGGCCACCCCCCCACCACTGCAGCTGGGGTCCTCAGGCCCACATGGGCAGCGGAGCCCTGTGAGGACGTGGTACAGCCTCCCTGTCGGTCTCCTCCGGCAGATGGTGGGTTTTCTTGTCCTTGCTGGCTCCAGCCTCCTGCCTCCCTCCTGTTCTTCCCTATCGCCTCTGGGCTCCACTATCTCCCCATGCTTCTCTCTTCCCCCGTTTAACCTCTGGGCTTGGCCTTACGGCCATAAACTCATGAACAGGGACCATATGGCCCATTCCAGCCAAGCACCTCCATGCTCCCCTGCGGTGTCCCTCAGGAAGGCTGTTGGAAGCGGAATAGCACCGTAAAAGTCTGGGGAACCATGGACCCACGCACCCCTTGCAGCCAGCCCCTATGCTTCTTACACTTCTGGTTCGTTTTCTGCTACAGTAGAAAAATCAGTCCTTTTTCATCAAGACAGAAAAACATCAGAAATCAAAAAAAGATACTGACCGAAGCTCACATGTGAAGCCGAGGAGGATGGAGACCCGCCCTCTGCAGGTCCCACCCAGCACGTTCGGATCCTACTTCAAGGCAGGAGCTCACCAGCTCTGTCCTGGCTCTCAGTTCCAGAGCCTTTTCTCCTTCCTGAGTCTTGCCACGGGTTTGCACACCGGTTTTGCACCTCTGATTGGCTCAGTCACCTTGGACCTTGTCCCTAATTAGTTCCGTGTATATCTTATCCTCCCTGTGGCCTGGAAGCTCCAAGATATGTGACTCCAGAGCTGTGTGCACGTAGTGGGCAAAGGGACAGTGCCCCTGGGCAGGAGAGGCGGTGCGGGGCGTGCAGCCCTGACTATCCTCCCCTTCTCTGCACCCCCCATGATGCCACCTCAAAAATATCCATCCAGGGAAGGAGGGAGAAAGGGCTCACGGAGGGAGGGAGGAAAGAAGAAAATGAATCTGTCTTCAACTTGGTTTTCTGACCCTAGACACCCCAAAACCTCCCTGTTTTTGCTTTCTCCCCACTTCCCCCTTAGAAGCTCAACTCCACTCATCAAGGCCGACCATCCTGTTTCTCTGCTGCTCAAGGTGGCTGCACTGAGCCTGACCCAGGATGGCCAGGACGGCAGCCCAGGCCATGGCACTGACCTGGGGGGAAAGTGGGCCTTGAACTTGGTCTGGAACATCCTGGCCAGGATGACGAGCAGCAGCACCAGCAGCACGCTGGTGGCCGTGAACGCCACGATCTTCCACGTGGTCAGGAGGGTCTCGTGGGTGCCAGGCCACGTTTGCTCTGTCGGGAGAGAGAACAAAGCAGCACATGAAGCTCCCAGACTGTGACAGGTCACACCAGGAAACGCTGTCTCCAGCCTGGTCTCTGCCAGGTTGAAGACACACTCACGTGCTCCTGTTCCAGACCGGGGCAGAGCCTGGCGTGGAGCTATGTCCCTGCTTCTTAGGCAGAGAACAGAGGGGTCCCTCTCCCCTGGAGAAGTCGAGTTCTCTAATGGACTGAGGGGAACGGGGAGCAGGGCTCAAGGCCTTTGTGTGTTCTGGGCTAGACTGTATTTGGAGTGAAGAAAGGGCTGAGGAAAAAGGGATGTGCCCACTCCAAGGCCCTCATTCTCCATCACCTCTGGCCACCAACACATCTGCCTGGTGAGAAAAAGCGGGAGCAGACCCTTCCAGCCTAGATTCCCACCCTCCAGGCACAAGCTGCCCTGTGTCTTCCACTTCGCCTCCCTTGCTGCCGCCTTCTCCTCCCCTTCCCTCACCTCGCTTGGAAGCCGCCCTCTCCACTCCCCATGGGTTCCCATTACCATTCGTGGGCTCCAGATGCGCCGGGTTAACAATGCTTCCCCCACAGGCTGCGCCCAGGGAAAAAGTCTGCAGCCATCACTCCCATTTGGGACAGGCGGCCAGGGCTCCGCGCAGGACAGGGGCGGGTGGGAGACGGTGGGTGGGTGAGCGCCGGTGTCCAGGTCTCCATCGTGTGGTCACTACCCTGGTGCGCTGGGACCGGTGGGGATGCTGGTTTACTGGTAATTTGCTATTTACTATGAAGCCTGATGCTTGCAAATGGCTCACGTTTTTAGACGTGAGAACAGGTCTTACCCCTAATAATACCGTTTGTGGTCTGATATGCATCCTTGAGTGGAGGGGAAAGGGGGAGTTACGCATGGCTTGGGTCATGCCCATGGGCCTGTGTCCTCGTCCGTGAGAGGGGACAAAGCTGGGAGAAGACAGAGAGCACAGAGGCCGGGTCCTCCCATGGGAGCTAGGGGTCTAGGGACCCTGTTCAGAGGGTCAGTATTGTCACCTGGGCATGGTGACCCTCTGAACAGGGCTTGGAATCATCAGCCTGGGAATCACTGCCACACGTGTCCACAAAGATGAGTTTCTATATCCTGCTCCTAACACTGCAGGTGGGGGAGGAGGGATGGGGCTCAGAACACAGCCACCAGCCACCATGTGTCGTCTGAACCCAGACCATCCCGGGACGCCCTGGATGTGCTCACCCGACTTGATGCAGTAGACTTGATAGGAGGGAAACCACTCCCCGTACTGGCAGGTGATGTACTTGTAATCACTGGTGAGGCTGTAGCCGGGGTCGCAGTAAAACTCCACCACAGTCCCGTGGTTGTAGCGCTCACAAGGCCGCGGGTGGCAGACGAAATCGCCGTGGCTCACCATGGGAGGTAGCGGGCAGACTTGGGCAGTGGGGGAGAATAAGAGTTTCAGAACCACATGCTTATCCTTTCTGAACCCTCAACGCAGAGATCGAGTTTGGTGAACACATCACTCAGAGATGCGCTTGTATATGAACCATCAGACCAGTGAGCTGTCCCCAGGACAGTCCCTTCTCCTGTCCTTTCACGTGACACCTGCTATGACATCCTGAGCAGTGCCGCTGTCACATGGCATTGTAAAGCACATCGTGAAAGAGAGGTTCGTTTTGCATTGCAAAGGGTACGTCTGTTGAACAGATAGTATTAAGCTGCTCTGTTAATAATGCATGTTATTATGTGCCAGACAACCTAGTAAATAAAATTAATATATTTATGGACAAAATCTTCACTGAAAGGAACAGCTATACCAAGCCTGTTTCTGTGGCTACGGTAGGAATTTGGGACTGTCCAAATCCCCAGTGTCCCTAATCTTATCCCCAAGTGTCCTACTGGGATGTGACTGGTAACATACACGGAGCTCGTCCGCTGGCTCCGTGCGCAGGCCCAGGCCGCAGCCTCCCACTCACGGCCCGCTGACCCGTGCGGAGGAGCCCCCGGTCCTGGGCTTGGTTCTGCCACCAATACGCTCCGTGACATCACAAAGGTCACATAACCAGTTTAAGCCTTGATTTTCTCCTCTGTAAAATGGAAGCTTCTTCTACCTTTGATAAGTGACATCACAAAGGTCATGTAACCAGTTTAAGCCTTGATTTTCTCCTCTGTAAAATGGAAGCTTCTTCTACCTTTGATAATGTTTTATGGTCTTTCTGACCCTAATATTCTATGATTTTAAGGGAAGAAAAGTTGCTTTCAGTTGCCTCTCTTGAGCCTGCACTCCGGGTTGCGAGGTAAGAACGGTTCTGTCTCTGGGTCCAGAAGGATGTTTTCATGGAGTTTGGTGCTCATTCATTTCTTCCCACAGAGGGCTCTCTTTCCTGGATGAGGGCTCAGAAGTCCTCAAACATTCCTGCCACTGCCTTTAAACACTCCTCAAGAAACAATCAGAGCACAGACTACGAAGGCCAGCTCTAAACCCATGCCTCCCGAGACCATGATGAGCTTTGACCAAAAAAAGGAGTTAACTTCTAGCCCAAGCCCCAGCCAGCGCAGGCCCACAGGCAGGCCTGCCCACTCCCCCAGCGCAGGCGCGTCTGCAGGGAGCTGCCCACCCCCATGGGCCGCTGGAAGGGAGTTCTCACTGGCAGCAACCTGGGCCCACTGAGACCGGTCAGCAAGATGGGCCCACCCGATGGAGAGGTCCCCTGGCATGTGGCCGAGACGCTATTTACAGACACTGTCTCTCATCCTGCAAACAACGCCGCAATGCAGATCTTGCTGGCTCTTTTCAGAGACGGGGAAACAAACTCAGAGAGGGCAAGTTCTTCAGAAGCAGCTGGAGGATGGAGTAAAGCTCAGGCCTGCTCCAGACAGGGATCAGGCTGCGTTCCAGCTCAACTCCTTCCCAGCTGAGTGACCCTGAACAAGTCGCTGATCTACTCCGAGCTTCAGTGTCCTGTCTGTAAGATGGGAGCATCTGGGGTTTATTCTGAGGAAGGCTGGCCAGGGCTCAGTTCAGAGCTGACATGATGCAGGGGAAGTCAGGACAACTGGGACCCAGGCATCTACAGAGGGGCTGGAATGAACAATGGTTTCCACAGGTGATGGAAAAGCCAACGGGGGCAATGAGGTCCCTGAGATTAGCATCAGCAGGAAGCCTCTACCGCCCTGGGCAGGCAGGATGAAAGGTCCTAGGGGCTGGGCCCCCATGGATGTTGGAGCCATGAAGGTGCGTCTTGTGGGAGCTGGAAACCAAAGAAGTTCAGACACTGCCAGAGATGCCCCCAGGGCAGAGAGGGTCAGGGGCGAATGCCCCCACTTCTTCACCTCTGGACAAAGCCAGTGGGGAGCCAGTTGAGCAGGGAGCCTGGGGAACGTGGTTGGCAGGGGGCGGGGCACGGGAAGGTCCAGGACCAGGTCTGAGGCCCACAGCCCCAGAGTGTGCTCTGTGAATGGTGGCTGGCAGGTGACTGCAGCCCAGGTACCACTGGTGGACCTGGCAGAGTCGGGGTTGGAGCTCTGGCTTTCCGCTGGCTCAGGGCATCTCCCGTCCTGGCAGTCGCACACCCTCCACCGAGCTGCCCAGGCCGTGGAGTCCCATCACTCGACGCATTTCTAGTTGCACAAACTGGGGCTTCTGTCAAATCCACTACCTCCAGGGTGTTCTGAGAGCATCCCTGGGAGGGGAGCAGGGCAGCAGGAGAGGAACGGGAAGGGGAAGACGCTGGCGAGGAGGAGGGAGAGAGAAGAGGCACCAACAGTGCCGAGCTGGTCCTGCGATGCCAGCGGGGTCTCGCAGCGAGGGCCCCTTCTTCCCCTCAGGCCCCTCCCTCCGCGCCATTTGTCCTGGGAGAGCACGCGGAAGGGAGAGCGTCGCATGCTCCGGCACCCGACTCGGGAGGGGGTCACGGGGCTGTCAGAGCCGCCTTCCTGGGCTGAGGCATGCCCTGCCGACCGGAGTGAAGCGGAGATTGGATGTCTGCTGTGTGGCCAGCCTGACAGCAAAGTGTGCCACTCTGACGGCCTCCAGGGCTCCCGTGGCCGCGGGGAGTCCCGCGCTCCTGCGAGGGCTCCCCCAGTGCCACAGAGGCTCACGGGAGGCCCTTTCCACTGTCAGGGTGTGAAGAGCAGCAGGGCCTCCTCCTAGCTGCCCTCCAGACAAATCCCCAAGGGTCCCTATAAGATGAGAACATTATCGGAACATGTTCAAGGCCCAGCAAATGTCATGAGAGGTTAAAGAGGCCCTGTAGATACATGCAGGTTTGTTATGCCGACTAAACCCTGTCGCTCACCATCTGGTTCTACAAGAACGAAGTCACCAGCCACTGCAGTCACTGACCTTCAGCACACCCTGAGAGGGGTTCAGGGCTGAGATCAGGTTTGAGGTCCTCTGTGCTCCAGGAAAAACTGGCAGAAAGGTCTTCAGATAGTTAGATATTTTCAGAAGATTTTATGAGCCCAATTTCCTGCATCTTCTCCTGTCTAGGAAAGCACGAACACCATTACCGGAGACCTCTGCTCCTCGTGACTAGCAGGGACCGTCAGCCAAAATGTGTGCTTGACTACACGTGTCCCGCTTCACCAAAATCGCATATATACTGACCTCCGGCCCCATCTCTTCGGAGCATATCCTTGGAGCTGAGCGGCTGTCTCCTGGTCTCTCGCCCTCATCTGGCCCAAATAAAGCTTAACTCACAACTCTCTTGTCGTGCTTTTTTTTCCCCTTCAGTCAACAGTTTTCAGCAGCACATTTCCTCACTTGGCCTGAGGGTAAAGGGCTGTTCAAGTCACGGCCTGAACCGGGAGGCAGGTGGTCCATGATGCGCTAAGGAAGAATGGGCTGACCAGATCCTTCATCCAACAAGGGAGGGAGGGCGCACAGCGTGTGCACAGGGGCTCGGGCTTGGAGGTTCCCAAATTTAGGTTCAAATCCTGGCTCTACACTGATGAGCTGGGGGGATCAGGTAGCTTGTTCAACTTCTCGAGGGAGTTAACTTCCTTGTCTGTTACTTCCTAGGGTTGTTGTGAGGATTAGAAAGTGTATGGAATGTACGTAACACAAACATCGGAACACAGCAGGCACTTACTAAGTAACGGTGCGTAGTATCACTGGTGCCTGAACTTGCTGAGTTTGGTGCCGCCCTCCTGTACGATCAGGACACCTGGATTGCACCAGTCTGGCCCCAGACACTCCCGGGGGAACCTGGAAGCACCTCACTGGCATGTTTCCTCAGAGGCCAGATCCAAACCATCCATGGAAGACGCTTTGATTCCCAGACTGTCATCATCTAATCGGCTGCTAACGGAGATGCATTTGCCCCCTAAATGGAAACATTCATCTTCACACTTTGCAGGGTTTCTAGTGACTGCAGCCTGGCCGCCATTAGTTTTGCTGCCAGGGAAGCCTCCACGCATCCTAGTAGGGGCAGAGGGTGGGGTGTGTTCTTTGAACTTGGAAGGAACAGACAACCAAGGTGTTAATGATAAACTTGGGGAGCTTATTTAAAAATAACAGTATAGGATAATCTGAGACTCAGGGATTCCTCCTCCCATCACAGCCTCTCACCGTGGGGTCAAAGTGAGTTCTGCTACCTCTGTCCTCTCCTACCTTCCCTGAGAGGCAGACAGCAAAACCACCTAGGGTGTTTCCTAGAGCTTCTGGTTGGTCAAAGGGCACCTGACTTCCCTTAAGGCCCCTTAGGCTCAGCCAGCAGCTCAGACCCCAGCAGCTGCTGGTTCTAAGCAAAATAACACCCTCGAAAATCCGTGGGCGGTGTGAACAAAAATTCTTCTGCAACTCTCTTTTTTTCCTAAATGTTTCCCACAACTTTAGGAATTATTAGCAACAGTTATGGGTTTTGTGAGGCTTGGAGTCTGGACCTTGAGGGGTTTCAGGCAGAGCGCAGGTGAATTTGCTGAGACTCGGCCAGAAACCATCATAATTACTGTCCAGCTGGAGTTGCCGCTCTGCTCCTGGCTTTACCACGAGGTTGATGGCTCCTTCCTGATTGGCAGGACAAGTCCCACCTACCCAAATGGCCGCAAAGTACAGCTTTCACCATATTTAGTCTCCTGTGGGCTAGACTGGGTGGCAGAGATGGGGTGCAGAGCCCAGGGAGCCCCCGTCTGCCTGGGCTGAGCTGAGTTGGGGCTGGAGACGCCAGGCACAGGCTGCTTATCCCTGTGATTTCCCAAATAGGCCCTCCCTTCCATCCAGCCTCCCCCCCTCCCCAAGAACTCCCCTGCCTCCTTCCAACTGAGCACCCTTCCTCACCCACTTCTGGCTGTTTCCACCTATTTACATTTAATTGCAGGACAAACACCTGCTTTTTCACCCAGCCCTCTCCATGACCCGGCGTGATCTCGGAATTCCTGGGCACTGTGAACATTTCCCATTCCTTGTGTTTGCAAAGATCCATAACTTT